CACCGTAGTGAAGAGGGGCGGGTAATCAACCTCCTTACTATGCCACCAGTTGCGAGTATATTGAGTACGTCCCCTACAGTAGAAGTTGGCCTGTGCACCAAAGTCTAGCAAGACGGCCACGATTTTGGTATGGCCACCCTGAATTGCCACCACTAGAGCGTGCTGGGTATTCACAACGCTCGGGATGCTGTATCCCTGTTGGAAAAGAGGGTGGGTAAAAATATCCGTGGGGTCCCATCTTTTTCGTGTTCTCCTTAGCACCGTGTCTTCTTCTTCTTCGTACATTTTTGGAGCCTTGTCTTCCGTTGCTTCTATCACTGCCAGGGATGCTTGAGGCTGGTTGCGGGCAGCATTTAGCCCGTCTAGCAAATTTTGAACTTGTAAAAAGAGGTTCCGCTCGGCGAGAAAAGAGAGCGCGGCTCCATGCCTATACTGGCCGTGAAAGTAATACAGAAACTTGATGAGTGTTTCGTATAGATGACGATTGGTCCGGATGAAGGCGTAAATGTCCCTTTGGTGGCAAAAGCATGATGCGATGGTCCACAGGATCTCAGTGGGTAGTTGGACGAGCGCCATTACGGGAAGATGGATTCAATTTCGCAAGTGCATGTATGTACAGGGGAAGTTGAAAATACGTGGAAGCGTATATGGACTTGGCTCCAGAGGCTCTAGGCCGTATGTGGTTAGCGTGAAAAGCGATGTTGATTTAGTCCGCCGTCCGTGCGAAGGGGTCGTACGACATACGCTTGGCACAGCTAACAAATCTCCATCTCTTAACTAGTGCACGCTAGTTCGTGTTAGTTTGTTTCTGTAATGCAGGGGGACTTGAGGTATTATAATTTATGGAGGCATTCTAAAAACACTAAGCATTTACCATACCTTGTTAAATTTGCTAGGAAATGAGAAGTGACCGGAAAAGAAAGCAATGTAAAGGTATACTGTTCCCAGGTGTATGGCCTGTCAACCGGGTAAGATACTATGGCTTGGAGGAGAACACAATGTATTGTCTGGAGTGCCAAGACTAATTCTTGCCAGTCTCTTTTAGGGACCCTGGGGTCCCAGACTATAAGGGATCTATCTCTCCAATGTCGACATGTATATCATGTGATGAACCCCTCTCGGATCGGCCACGACGCGGGGTCGATCTGCCAAGACTGCCTGACATGGTATTCTCTTTGTAAGGATCTTTATCCGTTACACTAATAATTTTCGGGTCTTCGTATTTCGCACGTTCGTAATTATAGCGTCTCGAGAATCGGGAGGAAAGGAGAGGATGTTTAACAAATTTTAGAACCCAATTTTCGCCGACCGAAAGAACCGGGGTGGTTCCGCGCTTTTCAAGGAGAAGATTCGCCATTTCTCGTACAGTAGAGGGCCGGGGAGCTGATCGGCGAGAATCCATAGAGAAAATCCATTTTTGAAGCGATTCCTCCTCAGTTTCAGTCAACTTATGGTTGTTGGCGTGTGTTTCAGCACGAAAGGTATCACCGGCGAGGCGGCGTTGCAAGGTAGAGCGGGGGACTTGAAATAGGCGTGCCGCTTCACGGATTGAAGAGATTTCTTGATTCTTAATAGCCTGAATAGCTAGTAAGATCCTACCCTCCTGCTCTATTGAATTTTTAGAGTATTGAGAGCGAATTGGTGGCATGGTGGGTGGTTGAATTAACTAAGTGCTAATTCATGGACGCGTTTTAGGTTGGGTGGCCCACTCGCCCACTCGCTGGTGGATTACGTTATATAGTACCAAGATATATTTGAAAGTGTATATACTAAGAATTTTTAATTTTCCGAACAAACCGGTCAATATCTCCCTTTCTAGACTAGCTATAAGAATTCTGAATAGTGCATTTTGTAGCCCTTTTTAGATAGTATATTATATGCTTTCTTTCCATATTTTTCTATGATTTATTAATATATTATTTAAATGATAAAAGTTATTAAATTTTGTTTTTCCAAGTCCGCGATTTAAATACAGGGCAGGTAAATACGAATACGGTATTGAATCCCTACTACTAGGCGGCTAAGATAAGACCAATACGGATCGGTGGCCCTTATCAAAATCCACCGGTTGCCCCCCACCAAAAAAAGAAGTCCAGATTTCAACTTATTTTTCACCATCTTCCCATACTCCGTTCGTTCCCAAATTTGGCAGGCACCCTCGTACACTATCAGGATAAAACTGTGCCAATATCCAGACCGATCGGAGCACAGGATTTCAGGTATTTCTGAAGCCCAAATACCTGAACTTGACCCACCCTCCGGGAGCCAATCACAGCCCTCTAAAACCACATACAGTGGCATTTCATGAGTATTTGCACCCGGATACCTCCGTTATTGACCGCTCTTTTACACCGCCTGCCTATTCCTACTAGTATAAACCCGGCGCCGCGCGCGGCGCGCGCGTAGTATACGAAGTTTTGTATCGGCAGAAAATAAGTGGGTCCCGGGCCTTCCGATGTACTGGGGTGCAAATACTCATGAAATATGACTGTACCTGGCAGGTATGCGGTCGGGAATACAGTGACATAGCAAAAGTTTGAGCACCCCAGATTCTGTTCACCAGTAAAAGGCCGAGTATACCAGACTGTATAGCTATTTCAGGAAGGCGGTAGTGGAAGGGGGTGTCCAAACTTTTGCTATGTCACTGTGGAGTTAGTTTTGGTAATCCTCAACATTCGTTGAAAAACGCATCATCAAGGTACGACCTGACTGACAGCCTATAGCCACTACCGACTCTGTCACCGCTAGCACCCCAGGACGATACTGTGGAGGTAGCCAAAGCACGTTCTTTCCGTCGTTCACAATCCATATGCCATCAGCACTTATACCATAACCAAAGTGGCTGCAATCGCGGGATGAAGCCTTGTCAGTTAATGATTTCGCTGTTGTAGGAGGAAATGCCAGGTTTATAGCTCCGATTTCCGTAGAAAGCCGGGAATTGTTCGTTGGGTCGAATGAAAGGTGATGTGCAGCCCTGCCTACAAACACAGTCTGTAGGCAATCACCCGAATTGGCATCCCAGATTTTGACTGTCTTATCGTCGGAGCATGATGCAAGTCGCCGGCCGTCATTTGAGAAGACCACTGACAATACCCAACCATTATGGCCCTCGAGAGTCTGTAGGCAATCACCCGAAGTGGCATCCCAGATTTTGACTGTCTTATCGATGGAGCATGATGCAAGTCGCCGGCCGCCATTTGAAAAGGCCACTGACCGCACCCAACCATTATGGCCTTCGAGAGTCCGTAGGCAATCACCCGAAGTGGCATCCCAGAGCTTGACTGTCTTATCCTCGGAGCATGATGCAAGTCGCTGGCCGTCATTTGAGAAGACTACTAAGTTCACTAGACGATTATGACCCTCGAGAGTCTGTAGGCAATTACCCGAAGCGGTATCCCAGACCTTAACTGTCTTATCCTCGGAGCATGATATAAGTCGCTCGCCGTTATTTGAGAAGAGCACCGACCTCACCGAACCGTTATGGCTCTCGAGAGTTTGTAGGCAATCACCCGAAGTGGTATCCCAGATCTTAACTATCTTATCCTCGGAGCATGATGCAAGTCGCTGGCCGTCATTTGAGAAGACCACTGATGACACCCAATTATTATGGCCCTCGAGAGTCTGAAGGCAATCACCCGAAGTGGCATCCCATATCTTGATTATCTTATCCTCGGAGCATGATGCAAGTCGCTGGCCGTTATTTGAGAAGACCACTGATGACACCGAACCGCCATGGCTCTCAGGAGTTTCTGGGCAATCACCGAAAGTGGTATCCCAGATCTTGACTGTCTTATCGTGGGAGCATGATGCAAGTCGCTGGCCGTCATTTGAGAAGACCACTGACAATACCCAACCATTATGGCCCTCGAGAGTCTCTAGGCAATCACCCGAAGTGGTATCCCAGATTTTGACTGTCTTATCGTCGGAGCATGATACAAGTCGCTGGCCGTCATTTGAGAAGACCACTGACAATACCCAACCATTATGGCCCTCGAGAGTCTGTAGGCAATTACCCGAAGTGGCATCCCAGAGCTTGACTGTCTTATCGTGGGAGCATGATGCAAGTCGCTGGCCGTCGTTTGAGAAGACCACTGAGTTCACCCCACCACTATGGCCCTCGAGAGTCTGTAGGCAATCACCCGAAGTGGCATCCCAGAGCTTGACTGTCTTATCGTGGGAGCATGATGCAAGTCGCCGGCCGTTATTTGAGAAGACTAATAACCGCACCCCACCATTATGGCCCTCGAGAGTATGTAGGCAATCACCAGTGGTATCCCAGATCTTGACTGTCTTATCGTGGGAGCATGATGCAAGTCGCCGGCCGTCCTTTGAGAAGACCACTAACCGTATCCCACTATTATGGCCCTCGAGAGTCTGTAGGCAATTACCCGAAGTGGTATCCCAAATCTTGACTGTCTTATCGTCGGAGCATGATAAAAGTCGCTGGCCGTTATTTGAGAAGACCACTGACCGCACCCAACCATTATGGCCCTCGAGAGTCTGTAGGCAATTACCCGAAGTGGTATCCCAGATCTTGACTGTCTTATCGTGGGAGCATGATGCAAGTCGCCGGCCGTCCTTTGAGAAGACCACTAACCGTATCCCACTATTATGGCCCTCGAGAGTCCGTAGGCAATCACCCGAAGTGGCATCCCAGATCTTGACTGTCTTATCCTCGGAGCATGATGCAAGTCGCTGGCCGTCATTTGAGAAGACCACTGACCGCACCCCACCATCATGGCCCTCGAGAGTCTGCAGACAGGCGTTCCAATTAATTTCAACCTTTGGATTCAAATTCATCCATTTTGGTTCCTCTCGGTTGAAAGACTGTTTGATCAAGCTGCCAGAGGGGCTGAAGATGAGAGCAGAGGCATATGCTTGCAATGGAGCGATTTCGATAGCCCCCTTCTGTGATAGAATGAAGCGGCGTGCGTCTTTGACAAGGCTGTACAGCTCCTGGGTTTTGATGTTATTCTGTCTATTATCAGTCCGTCCCGGATTTATGGCTGATGAGTAGAGCTTACGGAGAAAACTTCAAGCCTTTCCATCGCTTTGACCCCCTCGGGGATACTGGATAGCAAGCTGAGAGCTTCCAGCCAGTATAGGAACTTCTCTTTCAAGAATCTGTGTGCAATGCCTCCATCTTTCATGCTTTCATCAAGCTCTCTGGCTCGAAGGTTCAATGAAAACAAATCGTAGAGGAAAAAGCATAAAGTAAGGAGAGACTTGAACATTACTTGAATAAGTTCGAAGTACCAGGGGAGGTTCTGTGTATGCATATCAGCAAAACGTTCCATTTCAGCCTTGCCTTCTGGCTCTAACGGGGTCTGGGGACTAGGTGGAGCTAATTCGAGAAGATGCTTAGGCCAGTAAACGCAGGAATACCGGACTGAAGCAAGCGGATCAGGTTCTGGCGGTGACACTCGATTTGTGGGATACCCTAGGTCTTTCAATTCGTACATGTCGCGCTTGAGTGTTGTTGAGAGAGCCTGAAGCGATGCTGAAAAGACATAGTAGTGCTGATGATCGACTCCGTAAGGTAAGATTTGTCTCAATGCGTCTTCATCATCAAGCAAGAAATCTTTCGCAGACTGGTGAATGAAGGATATCACTTTTTCTTCCTCTTGTATAGTCAGAAATGAGCCGCAGGATCCAATGATAGACTTGGCGTCCTGAAGTCCGGGCTTTCCGAGTAGCGATGTCAGTTCGTTCCAACTTATAGGGCGGTAGACAATACAAGCAATTGCAAGGATCTGCTTGCAAAGCTTCGCATCCTCCCGTAACTCGTCGACGTCTCTTATCATTCTTCCGTAGAGGCTCTCAAGCCCTGCGGGAAACTTTTCTTCTAGGATTCGCAGTGTATGACCGGCACGGACTTGCATGCCCGCCAGCGCTTCGCATACCAATGCTACCCAGAGAAAGGTGTCGCGCGCGTTGGACTTCAGATGCTGCTGCACAGCTTGTCGTAGATCTTCATCGTACTCTTTCTTGTTTGCTAATTCGTTGACCTTGTGGCGTATGTAGCGATCCACAGCATCAGAAATCGAAGATGAGTTTAACTCGAGCTGTAGCACAATCTTCTGCCCCGAAGGATTCAACTCCCTCTCGATGCTCGGCCAGTCGCGACTCGATACTAGTATCTTAATTCTTGCTGATGATAGTTTGGAAAGATCCACGACGATTCGAAGAAGGTCCTCAAGGCCATGCCGACACTCGTCAAGAGCGTCCACAATCAGGTATACACCCGGAAGATCTGGGTCCTGCAGCACTTGCTTGAATGTCTCGCGTAGCGTAACCAAATTGTTGATGTCGAGATTGTAAGATATGTCGGTACGGTTGTACTTGTCGCGTAGTTTCTTGTTTCTATCGAATAGAGACTCAAGAAGGCCTCGTACCGCTGATGTGGCGTTGTTAAACTGATCGTTGGTCTCCTGACAGAAGAAGTATATCGGTTCCCAACCATTACTGATCCCCTTCTTGGATTTCTCCTGTAGCGTATCGATAATCCCACAGAGAAGCATGGTTTTGCCTTTTCCAGGATGTCCCCTGATCCAAAGCAACTGGCTGGTTTTTGACTGGAGCCAATACTGGAAGTCATCGTTGGAAAGGATCCACTCGTAAGATGGCCGGTAGAGCTTCTCTTTTGTTGTATAAAACTCAGAATAACTTGAGGGGGGATGGCTTATCAGGTCGTAAAGAAACCCACGTTCATGTCCTACTTTTGGTCAGCACTACTGGGTTAATAAGGTTTGCATTCCTCTAGATTCTTTCGCTAGTATATCCACAATATTTATTCTTCACATCTGGTATAAAAAGACATCAGGGAGCCTCACCGATATGTACAGTGCCGCCACTGATGTTGTACCCTGAATTGAAGGTATTTGTGCCTCCGCTTGGATTGTTCTGCTGCCCCATGCCACCTGTGTTCACGTTCTGGGTTGTGTAGATCAAGCTTGTCGACTCGACAGCCGCATCGTCCAAGGATGGTTCCACGTCAGAGTTCTCCTCAAGTGCCTTCTTGATTTCCTCGATATCCTCTTGGGTCGCCAATCTGAACGTCTGGTACAGGCCTAGTTCTCGCATGTCCTCCAAGATATCCTTCATAAGGGTCTCCACACGATGACCTTTGATGCCTTGCAAGGTCTCGTGGTACCATCCGCGAAGCTTGTCCCAACTTCTCGCATCCTTATCCTGCTTGCGTTTAATTTCGAGCGCATCAAAGATTTGTCGCAGCTTTCTAGCCTTAACATCGCAATCCTTGATGATTCTCGCGATCGTCTGCCGTTCTTCTTCAGCAAGGCTTCGTTGTCTCAGCCTGACACTAACGTCTTCAAGAATCTTCTGAACAAGAGGAAGGTGTTTCTTAACATGATCGAACGCTTTTGGGAGATACGCGATTGTATTGATGGTCGTACAGGTGGCGGAAATAGCCTGAATAAGTCCAACGACAGACGCAGCGATGCTGAGAGGATCCATGGATTGTGCAATGTACTCCCGCAGATTGAGAGGGTGAGATTGCTGACAGGACCAAGAACGAACATCAGCTCACAAAGGGGAGAAGCCAGCAATCAACATTACCCCCCTATTTCTATTTATGGCAGCCTAACAGGCTTCGCTGACCGTCTCTATGAGTAGCGAATAACATTACACGCTGTCTGTCCCCACCCCACAAAGTCACCACATCGGCCCGACCCTGACCGAGTGTCGACGACCAATGGATTGCCCTCCTCAGTTTGCTTCTCAGAAGTGCTGCGATGGTCGGAGCAGGACGTTCCGGGGAAGATCTTTTATTTCTCGATGCCACCCATTCTGTGGATCTTCCCCCCTCCCACCCCCGATTTCTTCACCATTCATTGTTCTCTCTTTCGCTATGTCTCTAAAACATCCTCAATCAGGCACGTCCAGCTGACTGGCCAATTTGGCATTTACCAAACAGTCCGAACCCACTCCATATCGATACGGTTTCTGCGCTTCTGTACTGTTTTCAGGGCCTTTGAGATCATAATCTTCGCTCTCTGGAAGCCAATATCCCACGCATTTCCATGGCTGTATCACGTAGCGTATTATTCCTCGTCAAGCGAAGTTTTATTGTCGAGAGATTATACTAGATAATATTCTCGGAAACGAAGGTAATGTTTTTGATATTTCAGTGATCTATGTCTTCTGTTGTCCCTCCAGACGAGTAGGCGGTTGGCCGAAACTCACATTTCCCTCACTGATATTGTAACCCGAGTTGAAGGTTTGCTAGCTCCGCTTGAATTATTGTGCTGCCCAAAGCCACCCTTATTGACCGTCTGTTGGGCGACAATGGAAGCCGTCTGATTGAACTCTGAATCGTCCGGCAATGGTCCCGCCTCAGCCAGCTCGTTGAGAGCCTGGTCAATGTCCTCGATTGGCAATTAGCACAGCTTCGTGCAGACACAACTCCTTCACCTTTCCCGGTGTGTGTTTCATCAAGCGCACTCGATTCGACGCTCTTTGTTCCACTCCAATGCCTGAAGGTACGACGACCTAACTCTATTCCCAACCATATACCGCCAGGTATATGGGATTTGGGTGGTCTGATTGGCCCCCGGGGAGTGGGGCAGGTTCAGGTATATGGGCTTCAGATATACCTGAAAATTTGCAAAGCTTTATTCTAATAGTGTATAAGGGTACCTACCAAATTTGGGACCGAACGGAGTACGGGAAGGTGGTGAAAAATGAAGTTAAAATCTTAACTTTTCTTTTGGTGGGATGCGACCGGCCGATTTTGATACGGGCCCTGATACCGATCCGTATTGGTCTTATCTTAGCCACATAGTAGTAGGAATTCAATGCCGTATCCGTATTTACCACCGGTATGTATTTAAAATCGCGGACTTGAAAAAAGGAAGATTTTGTATTATTTAATTAATATATTAATAAATTATAGAAAATTATAGAAAAATCATATATTATACTATCTAAAAAGGCCTATAAAATGCACTCTTCAGACTTTCTATAGCTAGTCTAGAAAGGGAGATATTAGCCAATTTAACCGGAAAAATAAAAATTACTACTTTATGCACTGTGAAATATATGTCTTAGCAGTATATGGTAGGCTCACCCATATATACTATATATATCCCGACTAAGATCGGACTGATAATTAGTTAAATATAATTAACGTAGTTAATCGGTAAGCGAGCTGCGCATGTAAGCCAGCTGCGCAGCTCAAAACACATAGTAAAAATGATAAATTACAACTTGATATCTCAACAATTATGATCTATAAAGACTTCCCCTTATAGCATACCATCTTTTAGGTAATATCTAGCCTTTTGAGGGACTTTTAAGAATTTCTGAAGCCTAGGGGTTGAGTAGATATATCTTTCTAACTCGGAGCACGGTAATTTTCGTTACCACAACAATGCAGGTTTTCAATTCCCTTAAGATTGATATGTAAAGTCCATAAGCCTTATCAATAGTCATCGACTAGAAATAAACTAAGGTGATAGGTGGTTGCTGTTGAGATTTATATGTAGAGTTACTATGTGTTTTGAGCTGCGCAGCTGGCTTACATGCGCAGCTCGCTTACCGATTACGTTATGTAACGGATAAAGATCCTTACAAAGAGAATACCATGTCAGGCAGTCTTGGCAGATCGACCCCACGGGTTCGTCACATGAGATGCATGTCGACATTGGAGAGATAGATCCCTTATAGTCTGGAAAACCCCAGGGTCCCAAAAGAGACTGGCAAGAATTAGTCTTGGCACTCCAGACAATACATTGTGTTCTCCTCCAAGCCATAGTATCTTACCCGGTTGACAGGCCATACACCTTGGAACAGTATACCTTTACAGGTATAGTGGTAGTGTAGGTTCTTTATTTCTCATCCGGGGGGCGGCCCCCCGGATGAGCTATAAATAAAAGACTTTCGGATGAGAGATAGCGTATAAAGCATAAAACGCGGGTGTAGGATATAAATATATATCTCTCTTATAATACACACATTCTACTATAACTTCCTTTTTGCACCACTAAAGGAGATCACTAGACTTTAAATTTTACTTAGGTTGGTTATGATTAAATCAAGAAATACGGGTTCATTTTATAAAATTTCAACTGATGTTATAGGAGCAATATGGTTGAAGATGAGTACTAACAAAAACAAGTGTAAATAACGGTAAGTTACAGGCGCGCTCGAAATCAGTTTCACCTTTTTACTCTCTTCTCTTCTTTCTGAAACTTTAATGCGAAACGCGCTAGTCCTACTCCGTTTTAGTTTGTTCCAGAATTTAGAAATGTATTGTAAAAGTAAATTACGCAAGTGGTGAGGCTGTAACATTCCAGAAACATGGATACGATCGTGACTAACTTACAGTACGGTAGACAGTTAACCTTGGAAGATTCATCAGTTTGATCAAAGCTATTCTACAGAGCTGACGAGATATGGCATTGAGATACATTTCGCATTTTTTTCTGCCTAAGCTAAGTGAAAACAACACATCTCTGGGCGAACGTGGATTATGAAAACAAGACATTTGGTTCCTGCGACGTCTAGATAGATCACCTGATAGCGGGGTACACTGGAGATCTGATCGTGAACTTATGGCCCTACTCAATCTACCTTCCCACAGTCATGGCTACTACCACTTCCTACGAGGGAGTGAATTCCGGAATCCAAGTCGCACAAAACTATGCTCCGATCACTGCAAACTTCGGTGAGTGAGGAATCACGACTTCAATGGCATGTGACTAAATAGCCCACGGCCTTAGTACAATCAGAAACACTGAACCAAGCATGCCTTCGGGATTTGCGTACGACCAATCCTCTCGACGATAAAGAACGGATCAAGAATACCAACGGAGGGCTGCTCAAGGATTCATATCGCTGGATTCTCGACAACGAAGGATTCAAACAATGGCAAGGCAGCCAGAGAAATCGTCTCCTCTGGATCAGAGGTGACCCTGGCAAAGGCAAGACGATGCTACTGTGCGGTATCATCGACGAGCTGACACGATTGAACGGGAGCGTCGCGAATATCTCATTCTTTTTTTGCCAAGCTACCGACGTACGCATCAATAATGCCACGGCCGTTCTCCGGGGCTTGATTTATTTACTTGTCGAGAAGAGTCAATGTCTTCTCTCCCACGTGCGGGCTCGATACGACAAAGCGGGTAAGGCTCTATTTGAGGACATCAATGCTTGGAGTGCACTGTCAACCATCTTCAGGGACATTCTGAAAGATCCATCTTTGAACCATGCCTATCTTATCGTTGATGCCTTGGATGAGTGCACAAATGGTCTTCGTTCCCTTCTGGACTTGATCGTCCAAGAGTCATCAGCCCACCCACAGATAAAATGGATCGTCTCTAGCCGCAATTGGCCTGAAATCATTGAGCGTCTTGATATTGCAACCCAGTTGGCTCCGGTTTCATTAGAGCTAAACGAGGAATCCGTGTCCGAAGCTGTGAAGAAATTCATCGAGCATAAGGTCAACTCTTTAGCCAAGGTCAAAAAGTATAAAGACGAGATTCGTGAAACGATCTACCGTCACTTATTGTTAAACTCACAAGGCACTTTTCTTTGGGTAGCCTTAGTCTGTCAAAATCTTGATCGAACACTACCAAGGCATGCTATTAAGAAGCTAGAAGCATTCCCTCCTGGACTGGATCATTTATACGGCCGAATGATCGATCAGGTTCGCCAGTCGGAAGATGCCGAACTTTGCAAGCAGATACTAGCTATTATGTCAACAGTCTATCGACCTATCACGCTAAGCGAACTAACTTCACTTATTGAATCGCCGGATGATGACTACGATGACCATGAAGCCCTATCGGAGATTATCGCAATCTGTGGCTCATTCCTGACGTTACGAGAAGATACTATTACCTTCGTCCATCAGTCCGCAAAGGATTTTCTACTCAAGGAAGCCCTAAGTGAGATACTTCCTAGAGGTAAAGGAGCGAAGCACCATATGATTTTCTCACGATGTCTCGAAGTGATGTTCAAAACACTTCGACGTAATATCTTTGATATCGAGTTGCCTGGATTCTCGATCAAGGATATTAGACAGCCCAGTCCAAATCCACTAGCAACGGCAGAATACGCATGTGTCTATTGGGTAGACCATCTTTATAGCAGTGAGCGGAATAAATCCTATGACCTTAGCCTTGATAAGAGGGGTCGTGTGGATACGTTTCTACAGCAGAAATACCTTCACTGGCTTGAGGCGCTTAGCATTTTAGGGAGCGTTTCAAATGGTATCCAAGCGATGCAAAGGCTCGAGATGCTAATTCAGGTATATATTCATTTGTGTAGGGAGATGATAATCTCGTCTAACAAAGAACCCATTCTAATAGGAGAAAGGAAACTCACAAGCCATGTTCCTTTGGGCTCAAGACGCCTCTAGGTTCGTTCGATATTTCAGAACGGCAATTGAAAGCAGCCCTTCACAAGTATATCTTTCACCTCTTATCTTCAGCCCAACAGACAGCCTCACAAGA